TTCCTGGGATATTGTGCTTATAATAATGAGACACACATATGGACTGACAACCCGAAAACATAATGCTTCTGGCCACAGCTATCACCAGCACAAGAGGTATAAAAATGGAGTACAAACTGATTTTTGGTGGGGGGCTAGGCACAGAGAAAGTCATAATTCTTCAAGTAACATTTTACTTTGATCTATATAGGTAAACCAAGCATTGTTTTACAAGCTTAAAACAAATGTATTTAGGCAGAGATAAACAGTTTTTGGGAGGAACTACATTTTATAAAATCCTTTTCCACATTTTTACAAATGTCTTTTTGTACCTCTTGCAGCACAGGAATAACTGGCGGGTTTCTCTGCTGAAGGAAGAACAGCACCATGAGTGTGTAGGCATAGGATGACAGGCTGCCACGTGAAGCGTCACCAATGTCACACATCTGTAACAGGTCAAACACTGTAAATATGGAGGCAATACAGTATTGCAGCATAATATCACAAACATGTATATAACAAAACACCATATATACACTTCATGCATTAGAAAGATGCCTTGGCTGCAAGTGTGTAAAGAATGATCACCTTGGCAAAAACCTTCATGACATAACAGAGGACCTTCACTCTCCAATCAATGGCAGCATATGACGCTAGCAGGTGTGTGTTGTGCAGCGCCTGAAAAGAAAAGTGTTTGTCTTCAGTCATGGTAATACAAGTTAGTAAAAAGCAAAACTGATGAAAAAAAGAAAACAAGGAGGAACAAAAAGCCATACCAGTGTGTTGTAGAGGCTGATGTCTCCTTCCAGGCTGGTGCGAACATGGTAGAACTTCACAATGGGTACTTTTGCTGTAGTGATGGGCAGGATGTTCTTCAGACCTGGGGACAGGTTAGGGGGATTCAGAGACATTTGCTGTTTTATCAGCTTTGCTCAATTTCTCACTTCACTTTGTTTAACCATTCATTTTCCTTAAGATGGGTTGTTTCCTCTCCCACCAAACTAAAAACATTGGCTGGGATGCACTACATTAAGTATAAGAAAGCCAACAACAGATGTGCTATGCCTTACCTGGGTGTTTCTTTAGCAGCCTTGCCAGACTTTCAATGATACTGATGCAGTTAACATCCTGTGGGGAAAAACCAAATTAGAAAAATTTAATTCTATGAAATCAAGAATGAATATCACAATATTATTTCCTGAAAATGCCTTCTATTTAATCTGTAATAGCTGTACATCTTTATATTTATCTTTCATTTATTCCTCTAATAAGAAATTAAACAGACATTTTACTCTATGAAATTTGGTAATGTAACCAAATCATAACTCTGAACAAATTAAGTCTGATCCTAAACAGAAGTACACCTGATCACAAAAGTAGTTGAATACTTGCACAGGCCAGTAAAATCAGCAGTGGGATTGAAAATAAAAACAAGAACGACATACATCTATGGTCTCCTGCCCCTCCAACACCATACAGATGTCTAGGTCACTCTGTCTGAATCCAAACCCATTTTTGGATGATCCAAACAGCTGTAGCTGAGCTCCTGTACATCAAACAATGTGTCAATTTCCTCCTAAATATGCTACATTCTACACTTCGTGTGGGCAAGACAATAAGATATACTATCATATTAGTTTGTGTTTGAATGACTAAAAATGCTAAACAGCTAACATGGTATTTTACTTCACCAGCAAACTGTCGTCGGACAAAGGTCTCCAGGTCTCGAAGGATGTGCTCTCTAACACCCAATTCCAATTCATCTGGGGCAAAGTCAGCTAAAAAGGAAAAGGAAACAGTCCTATGGTCAACATGAGGCTGACTGACATGATGTTATTAGTAAAAGAAAAAAATTGTGCACATTTGAATAACAAATAACCCCTCCTTGAACCGCCACCTTATTGTGGTGGAGGGGTTTGAGTACCCGAGTGATCCTAGGAGCTATGTTGTCGGGGGCTATATGTCCCTGGTAGGGTCTCCCAAGGCAAACAGGTCCTGGGTGACGGGTCAGACTAAGAGTGGTTCAAAAGCC